CTTTTTTTTAAAAAAAAAAAAAAAAAAAAAAAAAAAATATATATATATATATATATATATATATATATATATATATATATATATATATATATATATATATATATATATATGTTTGTTATTGAGTTCCTTACATTGAACAAATTTTTCAAAATTTTAGATGTGTAAACTGTAAAGACTACTAGTACCTGCAAATATTGTGCTGCTCATATTTAATAAATCAGGCTGAACATATACTTAATTGCAGGATCAAACCTTCATGCTTTATAAAACACAATAGCAATTTAATCAAAATGTTAATTTCATACCATGGATCATTTGTCACAATACATGTTTTACCTAAAATTGAATAAATTGATAAAATATGAAGTTGATTAAGCTTTGTTTATTTAAAATCACATATTTCTGACCCATTCAATTATCTGAAGGATTCGTGGAACTCACTGTTGCAAGTAAATCCGTCCCCTTCATAACCTTGATTGCAAACACATTTGCGGCCCATAGCTTCAATGCACTGATCAGGAGGCAATATTTGAGACGTGTTTAAATGAATACACAGGGCATTTGCCCCACACTTCTCTGGAAATAAATTCAAAAAAGAAAAATAGTAAATTGACATAATTCACTATTAATCAGCATCATCATATATCTTGCTTACACGATATAATGTCACCATTCTTATTAAAGAGGAAGTCATCTGATCCCGGTTGTGAAAACAAGTTTGCTTATGTGTACCTTTAAGGGTAAAGCCACCCTTAATGTGGTTTTTCCTGCATCTAATTGTTCAATAATGCATCTATCTTTGTGCTGGTTTAAAACAATAAAAATCCCCTTGGAAATATAAAATATCAGCGTTTATATTAATCGCTGCTATGTTTAAGCATAGGTAATTCAAATGTTATCATCAGTTTAACACCGTTCTATTTTGAGATGAGATAGGAATCGGTGTGAGGCCCAACTTCATCCCTGGAAATTTTATCACGAAAAATGTGCCAAGGTCACTGGATTGTAGCCATCATTTTTTTAATGGTTTCATTTGGGAGTTATGAGCCCCTAATTACAGATTATTGATTTAACAATGGCAAGGTTTCTTGCAATATCCTTAAGTAGCTAAAACTTACCTAATTGGCGTCAGAGTTTGGATTAAACAGTGCCAAATATATGGGCTGTTGTTAGTGCTGTCATGCTTTTAATTTTATGCTTTAAACAAATTTTCTGTTTCCTTACCCTTTCATGGGCTTAGGAAATTAAAAATTTATCAATTTATTACAGTCTGCTATTTAATTAAATTTCTGTACATTTTCAATATTAGGATGTGAGGAAGTGTATGTCTTATATATATATAAATTTTTTCAAGCATTAAAATACCAGTAGGGTGTATAGACATATATGCACTTATGCAATCAGTTGACAGGAAGAAGAAATGGATATCAGTGTGTATCGATTCACGTGACACACAGTTACTCATGATCAATTAAATGAGAAGACTTTGATTAAGGATGATATCCTCTTTTCATTTATTTAGAAATGGTGTGCTATCTAATAAGTTTTGTAATCAACCTATATCTAGGAGTCATTTGGTACCCTCTATTCTCGTATATGTATATAAGTACAGGTAAATTAATATGATCCACCTTGCTACATGTATCAAGTCAATACTGCACCTAGTACACATAAATGTATTTATTTTGCTTGAAGATAAAGATATTTGTATAGAAAGAGAGATTTATATGGGGAAACAAGAGGGGATAGATAAATAAAGGTCTGAGAACCATATGCCTCACTGTCAAGTAATATTTCAGATATAAACCTGTAGAGCCTGAGTAGCTAATTTCTGATCCTCTCAGTAATGTGAGAAATTTATAAAACTTACTGATACAATCAACTCCGTCCCCTTCGTATCCATGATTGCAAACACATTTGAATCCAAGTGCCAAATTGAAAAAAGGCCTTATTTAAGGATTTGGCTGCACCCCCCGTCAGGCAAAGGTTTTATGATTGATTCTTGTAGTTTAGAACCTGAATTTTTCATTTCTGCTTGTTTCCGGCTTGAAAAAGTGTCCGTTTGTACCGGAAACAGGCCAAATCCAAGATGGCCGCCAGTAAATTCATGTGTCAACTGTAAATACAAAAATTGATTTAAAAGTTACTTAACAACTTAATATTATCAAAATTTGCACTGATCACAAGTACTTTGGCCTTCTTTGATTTTTCAGGCACTTTACATTTTTCAAGATGGCGACTGAATCCAAGATGGCGGCCATTTTCCTTACTTTTTGTGAAAAAATACAAATACCTAAATTTGAAATTTTTTTT